ATTTATTTCAACACAATATAAAATACTTTGATGCTTATCTAGAAGTATTATTCTCCAGCCAAGACTGGCCAAACCTATTCTCTCCCTAAAGTCACCAATCACAAGCATAAAATAGATCTCATTCTCCTTTCCTTCTTCCAAGAGATAGCAATCCCTCCTTTCCAGTACCTACTTGACACCAAAACACCTGTTTGTTTTGTCTTCCATGAACATACTTTGCTTGTCAAACACATACCTTTCAAGGTCATGTACTTCAAAACACTGTATAATGTCTCCACTTACCCCTTTCAGTCCCAGATAGATCCATATTAGGAATCTGTTAAAACTCCCTACAGCAGCTCATTAACTGAAGATTACAGAGGCCAAGAACTTAAATGGCTTCAAAGCAGGACTGATGAAGAGATGGAAGAGATGTCCACTAGTGGCCATTAAACAATCTAGGCACAACCTCCACACAAGTTACTAGCACAAGTCAGGGGCTATGCTAGGAGAAGGACTGCTTAAGGCATCCCCAGCTCCTTGGACACCAGAGAGAGTGACTAAACAGACCTTTGGTCTGACATAATATGTGTCCTTAGATTAGCTCTCAAGCCCAGATATCCCTCAACATTTCATCAAAGCACACATCACATACCTCCAGGATGTGTGAAAAGCCACATCCTTACTCAGCAAATCTCTCAAATCTTACACCTCAAGAAAGAACATCCATGACATCTGCACTTCTCAGAAGCATGGCCTGAATTCAAACTTTGCACAGCCATGACACACTCTTATTATTTACAGTTTAGAAGGCCCTAAACTATTACAAAAGTCATGCGATGGGACAGTGAGAAATTTTTTATATAAAACAATTGTGTTAGTCGACCTGACTCACTAGTACTTACCCTGCCATTGTCTCCAGCATAACAAAAGACCTGCAGGCACAGTGAGACAGCTTTTACTTGCATGATCTGGAGTGTAAGGCTGTCAATTTCGGGTTATATGCCTGTTCAGAACTGCTCATGAATAAAAAGAATTTATTCTAAAGAAGGCTGCTTGTGACCTAAACTGACTGGTAAAGTTACTTCAACCCCCTCAGATCACAAAGTATAAAAATCATTTTAATACATCCTGGTTTAAGCACAATTTTTCCGATATCAACCAGTTATGATGGAAAAATTCCCTATGTGGTTATTCCAAACAAGTGGTAGAATATACATCTGCACGCTCACTCTCTCTGAAAAATATCATTCTCTGCATTTCCAAATACTAGCATGTATGTGTACCAGTGACAAGACAGAAATAATGAAGTTGTATCTAGACAGTTATCAACACTTGATGGATTATCTGTCTGGTCATACGTTTCATGTTTTAAGTGCAATTTAAAAATTTAAAAATCAGTATTATTATACAATACTTTGTAATGTCAGAGGCAGAATCTTAATTTAACTTTATAATTCTAGGTACAATAGCTTTCCCTTGAATACGAAGTGATGTATCACACATTTCAAACCAGGTATTCTATAATCATAGAGCTTTTTGTTACTGTTAAAACTGCAATTTAGTTTCTGAGGCAGTAAAACGCAGTAATACAAGGAATACATTAGGAAAGGTTTTAAAAATTAGGCTAAGAAAAAACATTGCAGGTGGAATTTAAGTACAGAAAATTATAGAAAAGGATTCAGAAAACATTTATTAGAGAAGCCTAAAAATCAGATACATTAAAATACATGCTCTTTTAATTGCATTGATACTGTGATGCTTAACTGACCATCCCTATTTTGGATGGGCACTTATGCCTAATTTAAAAAATATTCCTAGAAAAAAGCCAATCCAGTCTTTCTTCCACATGTGCCTTAATTCTTTTGTTATCATTCCATAGCATCTCAGAATAACAAAAATACAAACCTGTACAGAGTTGGCATGAAAATCTTACTGTGAAATAACAAGGTATTAAATTATCAGTAACACCATTATACTTGTCAACAGAAGAGAACTATTGCTCTTCCCCATGCTACAGAGGAACAGCCTCTCTCCCTTTTGTCAGTCAAATTTCTAGGTTCACCTAACTCCCAGAAACTCAGCAAATGACAAGCTATGACAGCCAAAATGCACTTTCATCTAACCAAAATACTTACTTTTGCATAATACTTAGTTGTCTTGAATGCAACCCCAAAGCAAAATTCACAGAAAAGTAGGAGGCTTAGCTTGTAATTCCCTGACATTTTTGGTAAAGACAATAACAAGTAAATTACATGGTTTAGCTGTATTAAGACCCAAAAACTGCATCCTCATTTGCATATATCATGTTTTAGTCAACACAGCAGATTTTAGAATTACTTATACAAAGCTAGAAAATACACAGCTCCAAGAGGTGGGTTCAAGCTTTTGAAAGTGGTATTAATTTGCCTTTCATGATGAAATAAATCATAAAAATATAAAATAGAATAAAAATAAAATTAAATATATAATATAATGAATGTATTATATATTTATATATTATATGTGTTATATATTATATATATTTTATATATAATAAAAATTAAAAAATAATTAAAAACCCTCATAATTTTGCTCCATTAACCTCATTTGTCAGCCGGGTGAAAATATTTGTGGACACTTGTGTCACTAATGGTATACCTATGTGCATGTTTCATGGGGAAACATACCTGTATTGTGTAATTTTTGCACATATAGGAAATACTTCTTACTCCTTTAAATTCTTAATAGGAACACATGCAAGGAACACAAACAAATTTTTCTGGTTAATTCCCAACCTACTGTATAGGGCACCAGTACAGGCATACCGTTTTACAGTTGAAAACTTAGAAATGCTCATATTCAAAGAGCTGGAAAACAATCTAGGCTAGACAAAGAGAACAAAACTTAATATGTAGCTGGCATTTCTAAGTTAGATTGCAGCAAACAAAAGTTTTTGTCAGTAAAACTACGGCCAAACAGCATTGTTGTGTATTTTCACTTATGTATTTCAGAAGAAAGACATAGGATTAAGTTTGTGTGCATTTTCCCTATTGGTACCTTGAATTGGTCAAGAAGGAGTACAGCCAAGCAGCATGAGGACTTTGAGATCTTTAATACTTCCACTGCCTCTGCTTGTGATGTACAATATCTATTTCCTGGATAAACAGAGAAGTTAAGTCCCCAGAGTCTGAATCCAGTACCTTTCATAAGCCCTAACTTCATTTTTAAAAACGATAAAAGAAAATGTAATTTGCTTTCCAGCTTTACCAGTAATCCATACGTGTTCATATTGCAGACTGCAAAAACATCTGTGAGATCAATAATAAACATCCTAGTCGTCGTTCATTCTTCTGCTTTATTTAAAGAGAACATTCCCCAGCATACATGCCGCTCTACATTTTCTCCAGTTTGAATAATGGAATACAGATAATAGAAATAGAAAAATGTACTGCAAATGGCAAAAAATGTATGTGCTTTACCAACAGGCGGGAGATCTTCCAAGGCAAAATCAAGTAGTCTAAAAGAAAAAGTTAAAACAAGACAGCAACAAGACTGCAAAGTCTCAAATATTAGCGAGTATCAGAATCACATTTGTCACTGTCTCTCCTCAACACTCTTCCTACTCAAAAGCCCCATGCCCCCAGGTTCCTCGTTCCAGTTACAGGTTAGTCTATCCCATTTAGTGGTATGGTTTGATTTTTCCTCCTACCTGCCTGCTTCCACTGAGTCATTCATGCACATTCTACTCCAAATCTTGACTCCTATGTGTTTTAACTTGCCTTCCAACTTCACAAAGTTGGGAGCTTTGTGATGCCTCGTGACACCCATTTCCCACCTAGTGGTAGCTGGAAAAAAATAACATTGTGGACAAATGATCACTTACATCTGTAATAGTAAAATTCATTATGAACAATGTATTTAGAGAGTTTACTTATAGGAAACTAGCAAATCCCAGCCAACCGTGTGCAAGCTTTGATTTATTAACTTATTGGTCACTACTTCCATCATGGAGACAGAGAAAAGCATCATCCCTATTGTTGCAAAACCTGCAGTTGTTTGCTAAATGTAATATCCCTCAACCCAGGCAGAGGAAACACAAACCAAGGAGCACTGGAATCTCTCAAGAAGGTAGGTTCAAAATTATTATTATTATTATGTTTTTAAAGTCAAGCTCACATTTTCTTTTTGGCGTTTTTAATTTAAAAAATATCCTTTAAAAGATTATTTTAAATACTGGCGCACTTGTTGCTACTACCCCTAATACATATTAATTTACTATGGTAGCATTAGAAAAGGTAAAAACAAACTTTCAAAACACTGTAAACATAAAAAGATTAGGCTTCCCAACGACTACAGGGCAATAGGTATTTATGTATAACGTTAAATACTTCTGTACATTGTTACTAGAAACACAGCGTTTCCATTTCATAGCCTGATATGATTAATAACTAGACTTTATGTATTTTCAAGTTACATCTAATTCACGTATTTTAAAAAAAAAATGCCTTTAGCTACTTTTCTTGCAGAGGCTTTTACCCGGTTCCTTTGGCTATTACATTTTCTCTAATTTTCCTGCTATTGCTCTCATTTCCCTTTCTGCTTGTCATTATTAAACACTTTTTATTCTTTTCTTCCTGCAGTCTCACATGGAAGGACGACCGCAAGGCCTCCCTGTAAGGCAAAACGCACTTTTAGAGTTTTCACGAAGGCAGCAGCTTCACGTGGGAGATGTACTACTCACACTGAAACTGCAGATTACTACCTAAACCTTGGAACAAAACTTGCCAGGGATTCTAAACTACTTCGATTACCACCGCGGCACAAGACGCAGGCGCGTTCCCCAGAGGCCGCCCCTCACCAAACAAACACCCCCCGGCGCCGACGCCCGGGCAGGCGGCTCACACCCGCAGGGGGAGCAGACGGGTGAGGCACCCCCTCAGCGGAGGGACCCTGGACCCTGCCGCCCGGGACGGCCT